TTATTTTTTTCATATTTGGAGTGAATGCTTTTTTCTTGAAATGGCTGTAAGTTTCATTGATACCATTATGCGTTTGGTTATGATAGAAAGACAATTGTTCTGTAAATGAGTCTTTTAGTAGGTATATAGGCTTATAAGAAGCTTTAACAAATCTTATACCGCTGTTCGAAAAATACTGTTCTAAAAGTTCGTTAAGTTTGGATTCTAAAAGTTGATTTTCATACCAAATACCATAAGTATGATCGGGCTGAAGATATTCCTTCATAAATTTCAAAAGTTGCTCTGTTTCAGATCCACTTCGGACTGTTACCATTAAAGTTCCATTGCAAGACTTTGTTATTTTGTACTGATTTTTTAACTGAAAATGTATTCGATTTTTGAAAAAATAAAAATTCTTTTCTTGATACAATATAATATGATTGATAGGATTGTGTGCAGATGAATGTCGAGTAACATCAGATTGCTCAACAATTTTGAGTCGTTCATCTAACGGCATTTCATCTAATGAATTAAATAAAGGTAAATTATCTTCATTCAAGATTTCATCAAGTTCTTGGGTTGTTAATTCTTCTACAGAATCTACTTGTGGTAAAATGGATGAAAGATCGTCATCCTCTAAAGCGTTAATTTCAATTCTACTAACTGCATCGGCTACAACATTGTCTTTGCCTTTTTTATATTTAATTGAAAAATTATATTCTTCTAACTGAAGCTTCCATCTAATCAATCTCTGATTGGGCACTGATAAAGAACTCAACCAAACTAGGGGCTTGTGATCACATTCGATTAGAAAATTTTGACCAAATAAATAAGGACGGAATTTTTTACAAGAATCAACTATTGCCAATAGTTCTTTTTCAATAACGCTGTAATTGCGTTCAGCAGAATTTAATGTTCTAGAGTGGAAAGCAATAGGCTTATCATTTTGACTAAGAACTCCTGATAGGGCTATATTGCTACAATCAGTTGTCAATGTAAATTTTTTTGGAAAAATCAGGATAAGCCAGAATAGGTGGGTTACAAAGAGCTTCTTTACAAAGTTTAAATGCATTGATATAATCTGGATTATTGATATAGATTTTTTCATCTTTACGTAAACATTTTGTGAATGGCTTAGTGAATTGTGCAAATCCTTTAATAAATTTACGATAATAGTTCATAAGGCCTAAAAATGACTGGATTTCTTTAATCGTAGTCGGGAGAGGACATTCTTGAATTACTTTGATTTTATCTGGGTTTGGAAGTATGCCTTGTGGCGTGATGACATGACCTAAGAATGGAACATCTTTTCTCAGGAACTCAGATTTGTCCAGTTGGATTTTTAAATTAAACTGATTCAGTTTTTGGAATATTTTTCGAAGATGCAAAATGTGTTCGTCTAGGGATTTTGAAAAAACAATGATATCATCCATATAGACAAAACAAAAAACGTTGATATATTCTAACAATACAGTGTTCATCATACGTTGAAAGGTAGCAGGGGCATTTTTTAACCCAAATGGCATACGGACATATTCATAGTGGCCATTTTCAACAGTAAAAGCCGTTTTTTCTATAGACTCAGGATCCATAGGGATCTGGTGGAACCCTTGTGCCAAATCAATAGTAGAAAAATACATGCTTTTGCCTAAATTTTCCAAAATTTCTTCAATTAGTGGGAGTGGAAATTTATCTTCAATTGTTATTTCATTCAGTTTTCTGAAATCAATAACCATCCTATATTTTTTATCACCGGATGCATCCATTTTCTTAGGAACTATCCAGCAGGGTGATTGATAGGATGAATTGCTTTGTCGAATGATTCCATCATTCAATAACTTCGAAACTTGATTTTGAATTTCCTTTTTGAGATGATAAGGATATCGATAATTTTTTACATAAATTGGGTATTCATTTTTTAACCTAATTTTGTGTGCAGTGGCATTACAGGGAGTTAATGGTTCGTTAGGCTTGAAAAATACCTGTTTGAATTGCTTGCAGAGCTTAATAATCTTTTCTTTTTCTTCACTATTCATATGAGACGTACGAATTAAATTTTCAACACGTATATTGGATTTTTCAGTAGAAAATGGAGATTCTTTTTCAATTAGAAAATCATCAAGAGGTTCAGATAAAAATGGGTTGGAAATATCAAGAAGATTTATGTCAATTGGATATTGAATAGCATTATTTTCTACGTTACTGATACATTCAGGAAAATATTCGTCAGAATTTTTGAATTTCAAAGGTGGAATAACAACAGAACCATTATCCAAATTTCGGATAATTAATGATTTTTTCGGGTAACTATACTGAACTGGATTGTTTTCTCGAATTGGCTTAAAAGAAGTGTTATAAGTAATTTTACATTTATCAGTAATAATCTGATGTTTAGTCAAATCAATAGAGCAATTAAGCTTTTGTAAATCATAGAATCGTAATAAGCAGTCATAACGTGAATGCCAAGGAAGAATTAAAAATTCAATTTCATTTTTATTCTTCCATTCAGAAAATATGGGAATTTTACAGGCATATTGACAACTAAAATTGGACGTACATGAATTAATTTCAAAAGGATGATCATAAATACGATCTGGAAAATATTTAAAAGCAATTTCTGGATTGATCAGGGAGGATGATGCACCAGTATCGATTAAGATGATAAGATTAAACTGAGAACAAAAAATATACGGAAGATGAGTTTTTTGATAATTATTTATATCTAAGTCAAATTTTGAGACTGGCTCGTCGAAGAAAAATTATCTTCGTCATTGTTTTCAAAATAAGATTCATCGGGGATATAGTCTGAATCGAAATCTTGGGTATATTCCTCAGATTCATATTGTGGCGTTCCTGCAAAAGTTTGTTCTTCCTCATTTTCAAGATGAGTAATTTCTTCGACATAATGATGGTTTGGTTTGGGACCTACTTGAAAGGCATTAACTCTAGTGGGCATTTGTTGACGATATGGGTTTTGTTGGGGTTTCGGTGTGCGTGCTGTAGATACAGACAGGTATAGGATTACTTTTTTGTTGGCCTGGAATGGGTTTTTTGCAAAAAACATTCTGTGGTGGTCTGAAAGCTTGAATGTTCGTAGGGTAATGAGGTTTAAAATTTTGTTTAGGTGGTGGTAGTTGCGTGGGACCTGTAGGGAAGGTTTGTTATGGCTCTAGCCAAGTTTGACTATTTTGGGCTCTAAACTGATTGGGCTTTTGAGAAAAATTAAAATTAGACCTTTGGAAATTTTGATTTGAAGCTTGTACTTTATTCTGAGACTGAGGCTGTTGTCGTTTATATAGGCTCGTTCTTAAGAAATTTTTGTAATCATTTGCAAATTATCATAATCACGACAATATTGAACAGAAGAATCAATTGTAGTAGGATTTTGCTGTCTTACATAAGACCTATATGGTTCATTCAAACCAGAGATAAAGGAGCTCAAAGACTGTCTATCATAGTCTCTCAATTTAAAAGCGATATGATCGGGATTATCATGGTATTCTAAATTTGCAAATTCTTTCAGGCTCTGTACCTTAAATTTAATTTCTTGATAAAAGTCTTCATATTTTTGGTTAGGTTTCTGAACTGACGTATATAAGGCGGTGAGAAGAGTTTCTTCATTTCTAGGATCTTTATATTTGGATAATAATAATGATTTTAAATCTGGCCAGGTTCTCGGACTAGTTAGATACACTAAATCTCTTACTTCACTTTTCAGCTGAGAAATAACGTTTTGGAAAGCATACGAAACAAAAGGTGTATTAACAAATTCTGCAATAAACTTTTCTGAATTATCCAAAAAATAAATTAGATCTCTGTGACCTCCATGATATTCTGGTACCATATATTTAGCTACATTGAATTTAATTTGTAAATCTTGGAGAGACATGGTTGACTGATTAAAATTAAGACGTGAGGGTGTCAAAATAACTTGTCTAACAGGTGTATTTTCGACTACAGATTCAAATTCAGAATCTGACATTAAATATATGCAATTAAAGTCACTAAATAAGTTTACTTATAGATAGCTTTTACGAGTATATATAAATGTAAAGCAATAGGGGGCGAAAAAGTTTCGAGAAATAAATGGAAAAATCACTGAGTACAGCAAAAATTGTAAATGTTGTTTCTTACGCTACACTGGGCACTAACAGCTGCATTTGGAGAGATCTGAGATACCTCCTTGGACCAATACAGCTCCTCCTGGTTGACAGCTTGCCTGCCGTGGATCCATCACCTCGCTCCTGTCAGTTCCTGTCGTTTTCTCAAGTGTCGTTGCCTGCTCCCAAAATACTTAGCAAGTATTTCGGCCTGGTACTTCGATGGTGATGTGCCTGCTCGGTGTAGCCTTCGAAGTTCTTTGTGATCGACGTCAAAACGATTGAAATCGTACCCGAACACACCGGACGATTTTTGGCACTTTTTCGGTCTCGATTGAGCGATACCCGTGAATCAATACCGCCGATTATCGATTCGGTACGCCGATATCCTGTTCGCAGCGCCAATTAAGAATGTGCAAACAACGAACGACTTTTTAAAAAAGCGACTTTATTTAACAGAAGACGAATGAGTACTGGTCACCTTGGTTTACATGCATCTCTTACTTATAACCTACGCTAGAACAAAGGAATCGAAAAGTGCAAACCTAAGCAACTCTACATATTAGATCATCATTATAGCAGTGCCGTAATTTTTATAAAACAACAGTACCTGAAAATACAACTAACGGACAATATCAATAGTTTTTGCCAAAATGATTGGAGTATTTTGGGACAGAAGCAATGCTTCTTTTTTAATCACTTAATGCGTGCTGCGTTTAAGATCGGTTTACCCGGTGGGCACTTTTCCTATGGAGCTTCAGCTCCGCACATGGTTCAGTTAGTCACTTTGCTTACTTATTACGTATGGCGTTAATGGCGTAACCGCCAAAAACCGAGAAAAAAATTATAGTGCTGTTCACGTTTCGAGTTATGTTCTTGATCCTAACACGTGGAAAATACTGATTTTTTTTTTATTTTTAGATATCAGCGAACCATTGTACTTCTCGAAAGTGGCGTATAAAGACACTCTCTTTGAGTTATCATGGGAGCCACCAAAAACCTATAGGAAAATCAGTAACTATACAATATTTTGGTGCAATAACGATAACGAGAGGCCTTATCAATGTCAGGTAAGGAAAATTCCATCATAATACATTTTTTCCAGTAAATAAGATTCAAGAAATTGATGTTTGTCAATTTTTCTGGATATACAGGGTGACTTCGAAGTTGAGTCATTTATTTTAACAGTGAGTAGATCTGATCAAAAGAAATGTTTTTTTCCTTTACCATTTTTCTGGTAAAATTAAAGTAACAAAGTTATAGCCCTTTGGAAGTTTGAGTACCGCCCTGCCTATTATATGCTCGTGTTTGGCGACAACGGATATAATCCACCTGACCGGTTCATCGCATCGGAAACAAAAAAGCGAAAGAATTTGAAACGTTTATCACGATGTTTTTCGTCAGTCGATAAATCCTGAGTGAATAGTAGTGTGTTGCGTGGCTCAAACGAAATCAAAAATGGCACATGTTTACGAAAATGCTGAACTTGTGGACATGATTCTTATTTACGGGGGGGCAGTCTTTACAAAATGCTCCCGGATGCATCACGGATTTATGCGAATCGGTTTCCCAATCGAGTGCAACCAACCCCTCGTGCCTTTGTTAATGTAGTGCAAAGGGCTCGTGAATCAGGTGACTTAAGACCTCACAGGTGAGGGCATGCTGCTCCAAGACCGCACGATCAAATACAGGTCCGCACTGAAATACTTGTCGGGAGGATACTTTATTAAACAAGGTAACATTTTTTTTTTTATTTTTTTTTTATTTTTACACAGGTTTATCTTCCTTCTACAATCATTATCTGAAAATTAATGACTCAACTTCAAAGTCACCCTGTATGTATATGTATATATAAGACCAACAACTTTAGTGATGTACTCTAGCACATAGTTGACTTATAGATATATAGTTTTTTATTTACTCTGTACTCCTGTGTAACAATTTTAGCGTTCGTAATTGTTTGACATATCTGTTCCATGCGTTCGTAATTAGAACTAAGTAATCCTTCTGGAACGACAAAAGTGCACTTTTCTTCCCGAGTGGAATAAGAGTGTCACCTGTAATTTTAATGGTTTATTATTTATATATTTATATATATATATATATAACAAAAAGTAGGAAAATAAAGGTCAAAATGCGCAAAAAGGATGAAAGTGGATTCGAGCAGAAAATAGGATAGGTAATCCGAGCGATACGTATTTCTGCTGGTTGGCTTCATCAGGGCCGAAATGAATGTACATATGCAACTACAAAAGTTGATACATATCACACATCCGGATACTGGTGTAACCTGAGGAAACGAAGATGGAGAGGTAAAAAAATCGACACACGAAGTCCACAACAAGAGCCAACCTACACATTGTAGTATAAAATGGCTAGAAGACCTCGAATTTTCAAGGAGACATCTAACCACAACCACGCGGCCGGTTATAGCCACATGCTGTGGTTAAGTATCCTGTTTTCTGCTCGAATCCACTTTCATCCTTTTTGCGGATTTTGCCCATTATTTTCCTACTTTTTGTGATATACCTTTCTCCGCATGATCATTTTCTCTTTGTAGATCCTTTGGGCTTGAAGTACCACAGCATGTGGCTATAACCGGCCGCGTGGTTGTGGTCCTTTTTGCGGATTTTGCCCATTATTTTCCTACTTTTTGTGATATACCTTTCTCCGCATGATCATTTTCTCTTTATTTATATATACTTTGAAGTTGAGTCATTAATTTTCAGATAATGATTGTAGAAGGAAGATAAACCAAAATATGTGTGTAAAAATAAAAAAAAAATTAAAAAAAAAATGTTTACCTTGTTTTATAAAGTATCCTCCCGACAAGTATTTCATTGCGGACCTGTATTTGATCGTGAGGTCCCCTGTGAGATCTTAAGTCACCTGATTCACGAGCCCGTTGTACTACATTAACAAAGGCACGAGGGGTTGGTTGCACTCGATTGGGAAACCGATCCGCATAAACATGTGCCATTTTTTATTTCGTTTGAGCCACGCAACAGACACAACTATTCACACGCGTTACCGACTGACACTGACTGCATGTATACAACTGAATAAAATAATTGTAAAAACATCGTTCCAAATTCTTTCGCTTTTTTGTTTCCGAGGCGATGAACCGATAAGGCGGATTATATCCGTTGTTGCCAAACACGAGCACATGATATTATTATTGAGACAGGGCGGTACTCAAACTTCGAAAGGGCTATAACTTTGTTACTTTAATTTTACCAGAAAAATGGTAAAGGAAAAAAACATTTCTTTTGATCAGATCTACTCACTGTTAAAATAAATGACTCAACTTCGAAGTCACCCTGTATATATATATATATATATATTATTTACTTATCAAAAAGTGCTCTACTTTGACAGAGTATATATTTTTCACGATGAATAAGCTACCCCGCATCCATAGCGTTCCTTATAACAAATGGTCCCAGAAAACTTGCTCAGAAATTAGCCAATGACATCCTAAAAATAAAGTTTCACAGTATTCCGGAGTAAAATTTCATCTGTCAATCTACATTCCATTACTGTGTAGGGTTACCAAGTTGTTTTGCAAACGCACCCCTGTTGGTCAAAAAAATATTAGCGCACCCGATTTTTTCTTGAATCTCAATAACGAAAAGTTGAATTCTTTAATACTAAATTTATTTAAAAACTAACATACTAATTGTCATTTTTAATGGCCACTAAAGCAAAGGAATGGTTTACGATGTCCTTGCATATTCCAATTCCTCAATATCAACATCATAAAACATTTTTGATACTTGCGGGACCTGAAGGCCTGATAAAGTAAAATTTCTGCTAGATATTCTTATACAGGAATGGTACCAAATTGGAACAGAAATAACTCGGAATACCCATGCCACGATGGCCGTAATTAGTGCAAATTTTATGATAACAAAGTACTAATTGTAAATAAATTTTGTTAATACTTATTTACTTGTTTGTATTTTTAGTATGCCAATATTTTTTTGTCCCTTGAATTTCATAATTCCTATTATCATTCTTATATCATTTTTAATTTGCTCAATCTACTACCATCTTCTATTTGAATATTAATTTTCGAATAAACGTAGTAACAAAAATATTCTTTTCATTATTAACATTCAAGACAAAAATGAAATGCATTTTTTTTAATTGCACCCATAATCACCAGCTTTTAGTACCTTCAATGAACGTGATTTTTGTACTGAAACAACCGATGGGTTTAATTTGCTAAAAATGTTTTTCAGGGTGATCTAGACTGGACGATAGTACCTAGTAACGTCGTGAAACATAACCAGACGCTTCCAAGGAGGAACATTTATCAATTTGCGATATCCGCAAACACTGAAGAGGGGAGCAGCGGTATGATTTGGGCAGAATGTACAGGCATAGCCAATAAACAAATCACAAAAATGAAGACTGTATGGATAAACAGCGTTGGATCTGACTTTATCGAGGTCAGATGGAGAATGGACTGTTCAGAAAGAACAGAAAAAATAACCGGATTTGTAGTCTACTATTGCCCAATAGGTTCACCTTCGTCACAAATCAACTGCAAAGAACCACAAAAAAATGTAACTATACATGGAAACAAAACCATTCAAAAAGCAGTCGTTCATAACCTGATGCCATATACTTCCTACAGACTGACAGTTAGTTCTATAATAAACAATAATAACTTCAGTCCAACCAGTGATCCAATGTTGAATACGACCACAGAAGCTGCGCCATCGACACCTCCTTTGAATGTAACCGTTTACAAAGTGACGAATTCTTCGATTTCGCTGAAATGGGAAAAGCCAGCTACTATCAATGGAGTCTTGAAGTATTATATGGTTTACTATAACAATAATTCTACTAAGGTGGATCCTCATCACAATAATGTCACACTTACAGGTTTGTATTGCATTTTGATATACACTCACACAACAAATATAATAGTATGATAATCAATTTATTCCAATCGACTAAATACATGGCTTAGGAAACGTCGATACACACTCAAATGATATTATACATTAATTTCACAGAAAAATAATGTTATAGTAGAGGCCTAACAGCTCAGTTATTCAGGCTTATTCAGGAAGTAGCTAGTCAGCCGCTTTTTGAACACTCCCAGATCATTAATATCTTCAATATTATTTTATAATTTATTAAACAGTTTTAAGCTGAGCTAGTCGGGACTTTTTTCAAAATTGGACGAATTATGTGCAGGGATGATTATTGCAGTATTATTACGTGTGTTATAGGTATGAAAATCTGAATTGACTGGATAGTTATATGAATTTGATTTTACGTGCATTAATAGTTCTATCATAATAATATTTGGAACTGTCAGTTTGTTATACTTCTTGAAAAGTTCTTTGCACGGCGCACGCAGTGCTATTCCAGCTAGTGTTCTCAATGCCCGTTTCTGCAACATAAGGACCATCTGCATATAACTTGATGTACCTCAAACAATAATGCCATATTTTACTCTAGAAGCAAACTGTGCATGATAATATGAAATTATTGTATGTCTTTGGACATACTTTTCGCAGCCTCCAGATGGCAAAACAAACAGATGACAAGCTTTCACATAGTTTGCTTATGTGGTGCTTGCACTGAAGCGCTGGATCAAGATGAATTAAAAGAAATTTCGTGATTGCTACTTGAACCAACGACTTGCCATTAAGCTTGGCTAATTGGCTCTCATTGATTGAGGTGGAACGAGGAGGAAAATTTATGACAATTTTTTTTTGCGTTAAGTGATAGTTGATTACTAGAAAAATAGCTTGTGAATTTATTTATTGTGTAGTATGTATGTAGTTTATCAATGCATGAATTTATGTTATTTTCAAAACATAGGTAAGCGTTATCGTCAGCATACATAACTAGCTCATCTGTTATGCTAACAGATTCTTGGCAAGTCTTGACAAATAGCAAAACTAGTAATGGGCCTAGGATTGAATCTTGAGGTACACCAATCTCGACATTACGCCGTGAAGAATAGCATCCATCAACAACCACAGTATGCTCTCTTAGAGTATGACATGACCCAATCGTGTATTTTTCCGCGTTATCGATAAGCTTATAATTTAGAATTTGATGACTGACCATATCAAAGGCCTTACCCAGGTCGATGAACAGTCCTATGCGCTTTTCTCCCCTATCCAAACATTCATACAATTTACTAATTAACTGCAGTATAGCCGTGTGGGCATTCCTTTGTCTTCTGAAGCCATTGCGTTATAATGTGAACAGGCTCTGAATAGCAGCGAAGCATCTGGTATCGTTACTGTGGGTACCGGGGCACGCTTGGATAAAGGGTGATCATATAATAATTTATTTTCCTTCAGAAAAACAAAGTTTGTATAGAAATCTATATACAGATACATAACAAAACGATAAAAAATAAAATAATAAACAACACTTACACACTGATAGACTTACAGACATTATACAAACATTTATGGATTAAAAAACCTTTCAAACAATACTTGGTAATTTTGATTTGCTATTCCTTCTTTTGGAATTATGTTAAAGATTTTGGGACCAAGTACGAGGGATGTCTTTTAAGTTTTGCATGTGGAAATAAAACAACACGGTAGGTAGTTTTAAATGACTTTATTGTTTTTCGAAGTATTCTTCACGAAGATTAATACACTTCTGCATGCTGTTGCCGAATAGTATAATTTCACATCTTTTTCGAAACACTTCGAGAATGGATGACTTTTGTTGGCTTTTCTTCACCTTGGAACACCCAAACAGTCGTTTATTTTCTGGTTCATAACAGTAAATCCACGATTCATCACCACTAACAATGCTGTACACATTTTTTGGGTTTCCTGAATTGAAACGGTCAAGCGTTTTTTTGACACTAATTAACCCTGGCTGCCTTCTGCTCTTCAGTCAACAGGTGGGGTATCCAACGAGAAACTAATTTTCTTACTCCTAATTCTTCATGTAAAATTTTTTGAATTGAGGTCTTTGAGATCTTCAAGGACGCCTCAATCTCGGGATATGTCACATGTCTATCTTCAATGATGAGTTTGCGCACACCATCGACGTTTTTCTGGGTGACTGCCGTTTTTGGTGCACCCACCCTGGAATCGTCGCTAAGACTCACCCGTCCATGTTTGAATTCTCCATACCAATGGGAAATTGTCGACTGATGTGGCGCTTCGTTGCCGAAAACAGAGAGTAACTCAGCAAGGCATTCTTGTTGCGATAATTGTCTCTGAAAGTTGTAATAAATTATAGCGCGAAAATGTTCTCGGTTGAGTTCCATTTTTCTAATGACTTGGTGACACTTAAAAATTCACTGTAGTACACATTGTTGTGAAACTTTGAATTTAAGTTTACTAAAGAGTGAGGTTAAGATTCAGTACTGACGTTCGATCCGCGCGGCCTACTATGTTTCTATATGCAAAACTTAAAAGACATCCCTCGTATATTCGGCAATTTATTCCTGCTTTAAATTTAGAAAAGTTGGCGTGTATATTATTGCTCTGCCTCGTGGCCTACTGTCTGTATGTCTTTGTTGAGAGTAAATTTGGTCTTGTTCCGGAATACGTATAACGTCAACTCGTGAACCGCCAGAACAGGCACCGTTAAGATTTTATATTTAAAAAAAAATTCACAGCTGAGGGTGTTACTTACCCACACCATTGATCTAACAATTCGCTTTTGAGCAATAAAAACATGTTGTGCGGCAGCAGAACAGCCCCAAAAACAAATACCATATCTGAGTCTGGGCTCCACAAGACCGTAGTATATTCCGACCAGCTGACTTTCAGAGAAAACCAAACTTTAGTTTTTAAACAAAAAGAGAGACTCAAGTTGTGAAACCAGGTAGTTGCAATGTACTTTGGAATAAAACATCAGTTGTTAAGTTCGTTGACGCATTCTTATGTTTAACGTCAGGGATATTTATATTTGTTTGTGGGTTATGAAACCTAATTAAATTGGACTTGTCAGTGTTCAAAAGCAGCTGATGTTTGGAAAACCAATCAATCACTGATCTTTGCAATTACTTCATTGCGTCTATCATATATATGCCGATTTGATCGATTGCTGGAGACTAATATTGTTACATCATCTGCATATAGTGTGAACACCGCATTCTCTCGCACTGACTCAATCTCATTGATGTAGAGAACGAACAAGATAGGCCCTAAAATGGAACCTTGAGGTACCCCAATATCAACTTTGACTTCACTGGTTTGGTCTCTATGTAACATTTGCTTATTTTTATTTAGTAGAGAAACATATTGTTTCCTATCAATAAGGTATGAGTTGAGACACCCATAAGGAGAGCCATTCACACCAGATGCAGAGAGCTTTTGCAACAGAATGTTATGGTTGACACGGTCAAAGGCCTTTCTCAAGTCGCAAAATACCCCAACCGGACACTCTCCTACCTCAATGAATGAAATGAATCGTTCATAGAACGAACGGATTGCTGTTGTTGTTGACTTCCCAGTAGAGATCAGCGAGATGATATTTTTCTTCTCAAAAAACATCATATGGTGGACGCTCTTGCGAAAGCAGGAACAGCGGGCAAGCTTGTTGGCCCTGAGCCAGCCCTAGGGTTGTCCGTGCAAATAGTTAGAAGGAAAATGAGGAGTGGATTACTAGGCAACCCTTTCTGAAATGGAGAGATCTCCGTCAGGCACGGGAGCTCATCTTAGGGCCTAGTGCTAAGAATCGCTTTTACTTTTCTTTAGATACAGCCAACCTAAAGTTGTTGGTGGGGCTTTGTCTGGCCATAACACGATGAGGCGCCATCTGCAATGGAAGTGGTTGAGGATCCCATGTGTGAGCACTGCAGACTATACTGGGGTCCAACAGTTTGGCTCCACAAATGCAAGGTTTTCGTTTCGTCTATTTCAAAACTTGTACGAACGTATTTTCAAGTTATTTTAATTTGTACTTGCAGATTTGATGAGCTTCAAAAACTACACAATCTCGGTGGAAGCTTGCACGGTAGCTTGTTCGAAACCATCCGAAAAAATGACAGTGACGACAAACATGTGGCAACCTGGCAAGATGAAAAAACCGTTTGTGTCTCTTTACAACGACTCTCTTATGGTGGTTGCTTGGGACAGACCAAACCCGCCAAGAGGCAAGATAAACTATTACGAACTCAGGATTGTCGAAAAGTTCGTCACCCAAAACTTATCTTTGGTAACACCGAAGAGAGTGGATCACGAGAATTATAGTATTGCAGATTGTGGGGAGTCGGGAAAATACGACGATATTTTGGTTTCGGTCAGAGCTGTCAATGTTTTGGATCAAAATACCACATACTACGGCCCATGGAGTGATACTCTGGAAGCTAAATGTTCACAGTTCAATTCTTTGATATATGTGGTACTAAGTATACTCTTGGTAAGTACGAGTTTTTTAGATATTTTTTAATAACGATGAGGCTTTGGCATGTGAAAGTTCCATTTGCGTTATTTATTGCTACAGACGATTGAAACTTGGTGCACTCCAATAATATGAGGTTCGTAAATCAAGTAATGAGACTGATTTCTTTTTAATTTTTTTATTCAAATATAATTAGTTAATTAATTTTATATTGTATAGTTTCCTACTGAAGCCACACAGCGCTGGAGACGGTTCTTCCACTCCTCATAGAAGTGCTGGAACTCTGATACTGGAATAGCTTTCAGCTGGATTGAATGTTTTCGACTGTCGAAAAATGAGTTCCCTCGAGGTGATTTTTCAACTTCGAGAAGAGAAACAAGTCACAAGGACTGATTTCAGGTGAATAAGGAGGCTGAGGAGCAACAGGAATGTTTTTACTGGCCAAACACTCGAACGTTTTTTGGTAAATTTTTTCTATCCCCAGTTCACTGGTCAAAATCTGATGAACGGTGGCTTGAGTGAAATTTAACACTTCTCCGATCATTCTTTCAACCGACGATATGAACATACAAGATCCCAGATTCTGTCAATACTTTCTTCTGTTTTTGAAGGTCAGGGCCTTCCGCTTCGTGTTCATCTTCAATCGACTCTCTCCCTTGTGAAAATGCCTTAAACTACAGAAAAATCTTGCCCTTTTGACAAAACACTATGTCCTTAGGCCTGCTGACGTTTAGCAAGAGTTTTCGTTAGACTGTGCCCAAGTCTGAAGCAAAACCTGATAACACACCGTTGCTTGAAATTGATGTTACCCACGAGAAAAAACTGTTTGACAAAGAAAATTGCTACAGACAACCAAATGACTCGAGCGAGTTCAAACTTGTACTGAAGGCGGATGACAGGTTCCCCTGTATCCCCTCCAAGCCCGGCGCCTCCAGTATTGCCAGATCTAGTGCTACGTTGCCAGTCTAATCACTTAATTTACAGACCTCGTATTCACAAACTATTTTTTATATCTTTTGTGTTCTTTAGTTGCAGAATTTTTATTTCATATCAAAGCATTTTTGGGAGAATTGACTTTACAAGAAAACATATCTGACTCCGTAGGCGAGAAGTAGTTTTGGAAATTCGAAAACATTTTAGTCTTACTTGAATCATTTCTGTGGATAAAATCTTGTAAAAAGCTTCTATTGTCTTGTGAGTCCACAATTTCGAGTTAATGCCCATAGTTAAAAGATGCTTTCAGCATCTGGGTCGTCTCAATTCTTTCAAGAAAAGTATTACAACTTTCTGACGAGAACCTCATATGTTTTGACACCTTGGTGTTGTACATATGTTTCTATTTGGTCAGAAAAACACGAAGTTATACCTAAAACGCGTGTTAATATAATTCATAATTCATGTTTTCTGTGTTAAAGGTATGTATAGCAGCCGGGTTTCTCTTCGTTTTCAAGAAACTCTATATCGTTTGCAAGAACATGCAAAATGTAGAAGTGAAACTACCTCCAGGCTTGGCTCCAGTTGTGGAGCAACGTGACCCAGAAAAAAATAGCCCTGAGGATATGGACCACCATTCAGGCTCTGATGATGCACTTTTATTGACCAAAGTGAGCGCGGATTCCAGTGGGTGCAGCTCAGCACCCGATAGTATCACGTCTTCCTTGGAAACTGGAACCCACGTGTCGAATTCGGATTCGGGCACAGAGCAACCCATGATGATTGGGGACGACTGTGGCAAAGGATCGCTTAGACAGAGGAATGTTTCTAGCAAAGGTAATGATTTTATAAGTATTATTACGAGGGTTATCTCAAAAATAGGGTTCCCAACGCTGTATCTTTCCCGCGCGTGATGCTAGGCGATCCGGGAACAGGCGGTTAAAATTCTTGAGGCTTCTGATTCGTCCCCGTCGTACTCACCAAACCGTAAGACTGCACCACTACAATGCGCATCCTCGTGTCTCACAACAAACGAAGGACTGAATCGAGCGATTTGGCTGGGAAATAATTGCCCATCCCCCTTACAGCCCTGACATTGCGTTTGCGAAATTGAAAGAGCATCTAGGCGGTCAAGGGTTGGAGACGGACGAGAGGTTGCAAGGAGCAGTCATCAAGTGGAGGAGTGCCAAGTGGAAAAAAATGCGTAGAAAAAATGACGACTATGAAGAAAAATAGCTTAAAGATCAACATTTCCATTGGTGACTTCGTTTCTTCAAATAAAAAATTCCTTATGCCCGAAAAATTGTGGGAACCTTAATTTTGAAACAACCCTCGTTTTAGCACTACAACAGTATTCGGAAAATTCCGATGACACTGTTGTGTAAAGTCTTTTTTTTATGCTGGATAATGCACGAAACGAGCGCCTTATCCGGTTTATTCTTGAATAAATTGTCAGATGTTGCACCAGTGTGAGGAATGAGACCGTATAATTTTGTACCAGTAGTAGTCATACGTATAAACTGCTATGATAATTTTGACACCTGATTCTAGCGATCTTTTATAGTCATATTATCATGGCTATGTTAAAGCTACCATAGTAGACCAAATATATGATGGCAAAGCACCATTGGAACTAACTTCAATAAAATTTCGATAAGCATGAGGCCTCTTGATTTTGCTGGGTTTGCGCCGTGTAGTTTCAAGATTATAATGTAGGGGCAAAAACAAATAAACTGTTATCTGGGCGCTCCTATCCCCCCACCCCTCTAAATTCGCCATTGGTCACATGTATTAGTTTTAGATGTTACATGCAGTATTCTTTAAATCTGAATAATTTGTACTAATTTGTTTTTTTATAGGCTACGTATTGCCAGATGCGATGATGTCAGTGAATTGGGGTTCAAAAACACCTCCCCCAGGGTCAAATTACTGCGTGTTGGGCGTAGACCCTGCTATTCAGAGTGACACAGAGTTGCCATACATCTCTAACAGCACAGGATCTTTGCCTTACATATCGTGCGACTCACCGCCTCCTACTACGCCATATGTCATGACAGGTGCGTTATATTTTAATAATCAAAATAAGTGTGAATCGAATCATTGATCATTAATTATCAAATTATTGAGTGATTGGTTAAAACAGCATACATACCAGATAATTAGGGCACACACAAATGCTAGTGTAATTTATCCGAATTTGAGAGAGAACTTGAACCGTCTGCGATACCTCATTCGTTCCGGCATCAAATTCGAAATCTACGCACCCGATTTACCCAGGATATGGATAATTTTTGAACTTTTATGTGAAATTATACTATTCGGCAGCAGCATCAGGTCAACCAGTAGTCTTTTCTCTTTCATCATTATATCGTGTAATCCATTATAGTTCTTATTTAGTTTCAATATTCATGAACACACAATCAACCTAAAAATTGTACTAACTTGTATCTCAATCTAGTGATAATTCTTAGTGTAGAGATGGTTGTCTATAAGAATAGCATTGCTCAACTCTTCCAATAAAGCCATTACAAGTATCGATAATTTACCTAGATAATAATAATAATCTTTACTGATGTTGGGCATGCAAAAGCACTCACACACGTGAAAAAAAAAAAAAAAAAGAAAAATAAAAGCTTACAGTGCACAAAAAAGTACACACTCAGCATTAATACTAAATAAAATAAACTAGGCACATTCAAAAGATAGACAGACAAGTTCAAATCACACTTGATTACACTAAAATATATATCAAAAGAAAAAATATAATCAATATATGTCACTAAAGTCATTGTCTAGAAAGGTTTCAATGCTCTAAAAAGCTTTAGGTATGGTGACAGTGTGGCTTGAACGATGCAATGTTCAAAAGTCTAACTGACTCAGGAACAGCATTAAAGAACTTGATACTGTAATAATTATTCTCATCCCTGGATCTGCCGATTCTAGTGTATGGATATATCATTAGGGTATCTAGTATCATAGCTGTGGAACCTGAGGTTCCTGTCATAGTTATCAACGTTTTTTCCTGACATGTAACGGGCAATCTATAATGTACGCAGAAGGTATAGTTAATACACCTAGAGAAATAAACTGTTCCCTACAATCGTTCCCAAAGGGCGTGATGGAGATGACCCAGATGCATTTCCTCTGGACAGCATACACTTGTGAGGAGCTGGCTGAGTGATCCCATAATAACACCCCATGAGTCATATGAGTGTGGAAACAGCTGTAGTAAGCTTGAAAAAGTGTGAACTCATTGTCATTATTAAGATTCTTCAAAGTGAAATCCATGGTCTGAGTTTTAGCTTCGTTCAGGAAAAAACTATTAGCAGCAAAAAAATTTTTATTTGTACATCATTATCTACAGTGTTCACATCATAAGCAGTGTTACAACTCTCTAGTGTAGTGGTATCATCTGTGGGATCCCCTGCCTTATCTCCTGGACCTCAGAGCAATTCCCCTGTAAGCCGACGTACTGCGTCTTGCCACTGAGATATGATGTAATAAGTTCAAGGCTGCCATGATTGAAGCAGTACTTGGTCAACTTTTTAATGAGGACAGTCATATGCCTCTATAGCGTTATAAAGTAGCATCGAACCTCTACCAGTTATTGGGCAATATTTGACCCTAACCTGGCGGCAATGCAGAGTACCATATTTACATACAAACGCCATAGCTTTGTGGTCGGATAGACACGAGTCAGCAGTTGTAGATGAAAAAGTCGTGTCAGGACACTTGGCAAACATATTATCAATGCACGAATTGTTTCGCGTTTCAGTAAAAATTGTACGCCTAAGGACATTGATGAAAATATGTCTTCGACAACTCGGGCATGGTAGTCACTAGTACCAAAGTGGACATTGAAATCGCCAAAGAACACCACACCTTTCTGTGTATTAATTTTATCCAACACCTGGCACAACTGTTAAACAAAATAAATCGAAATTGCCATTAAGAGATCTATAGACAACTATGACCTGAAAATCATTGATCACAATACCTGACACTTCAAAATGCATATCCAATGCGCAGGTCCCTACATTAAGATTTTGCAGCTATTAGTGATGCCATTTTTTACAAATATGGCTTTTCCACCATGTTTGTGTTTTCTTCTGCAGTATTCGGTGACCACACTGTAACCTGCAACATTAAAATATTTCGTTTAGTCAACAGTTAAAAAATGGTCGTACAGACATGAAACATCATACCTTTTATCGTGTAAGAAGGAATCAAGCAATGGTACCTTTTTAGAGCTAAGCATTGGATATTCTGATAAAATACACTTAGACACCTGGGCTGCTTGTCACAGACACTTGAGGCAAAGCGCACTGTTTCGCTAGGACGACCAGTTAAATACTTACTATTATATGATTGCATAGTCTGGTGTGATATTCTGCTGTTGTGGAGTTCCCTGACTGAAAGAACTTGAATTTCTTTTCAATAACGTTCACTGGCCAATTGGTGGGCTCCATGAGTGCTGATAACATTGGTGATGGTATCTCAACTCAACTCGCGTACGCTCCAGACCTCACCTTAAGCTTATTAACAGTGAAGATTGAAATACCATTAAAATGCTTCCTAAGGTACTCTGACAGATTCTCCTCCGTTATGGTTAGTTCTAACCTACCAACATATACCGAAAACCTAGGAACTAACGTAACTGCCTTAATCTGCCTTGAGTCAACTTTGTTCCCAACGACTATACCCTCAGAGACAGAAGGAGATCTAGATTTCATTCTGCCGGCTTTTTGTCTGTGGGTTCCTTGGTTGCAAGGTGGGACTGAATTAGGCTTTGACAACGGTGTCTTAGCAGTATCAGCTGGAACTGGGTTGCTTACTGTAGTTTTTGATTCTTCATTGATATTTATATATTTAAGTTGATCCCATACACCTTCGGAAAAACCATTATTATACATTATGATGAGGAAGAGAGATGGAAATATACAAAAGTATGTAGGTGCGTGAAAGACACTCGATTGTAGGATCCTATCTGGCAGCGTCGGAGTGTGACGGACAACGGGGTAAAGTAGAAGAGTGATAAAAGAGAGATGGCAGAACGGGCGCTGGCGCCTGCCGCTTAGACGGATGCGCTCAACAAATGCGATTTGTTTCTCCCATTCGCAGAGTTGCCAATACCAATATGTCATATTTCTAAGAAATCTAAGTCTACCCAAATTTCGGGAAAAATAGCTGCGGATTCCACATAAGAGTATTCCAAAAATGAAAAAAGTTCAAACTATTAAAATTGTATTAATGTTTCATGGTTCTAATCATATTTTTCATGTTTGTATATTGTTGTATAAATGATTTTGTAATCCCTATTCTTGTTGCCAGTAGAGAGATACAACAGTATTGAGAGAAATCATGGACCGCTAGATAGGGCTACAACTACCATATGACTATCAAATAGTAGTGATAAACAGGGTTTGTTTATAGCACAGTTGCCTGGTGTGGCGAATTTGCGCCATAGGGGCGATTTGACAACTTTGAAGGACAACTATAACGGGTACTATGATGCCCGGTATTCGGGAATCTGGCAATACCTGATGATTCCTAACGTTTATTACGCCAGATTGTTTGCTGACTTGCGCAGTACAACATGACAATCAACGTGACTGAGCACCTGGTAACCCTGGTTTAAGGTGTTATATTTAAAGAGCTTGGGGCAGTTAGGTATCTAGGTCACCTTTTTTAATGTATTTCGAGAAATCCGTAATGTTGAGTAAATACTAGATCACGTTTCTTGCTTAGTTTGCTGAAAATTCTACAATAGACGCACATTTTGAGAAACAGAGATTTGGTGACGACAAAATCGTAAAAATATAACGCATTTTCGTAAAATAATTTCTTTGTTGAAAAGACTGTGGCTTGATGACCCATTGAACGAGTATAGTGTCCCGCTCCGCTTTGAATATTCGAAACACTATACTCCAGCAGCATTCAGCTTCAATGTTATCTTTATGAAGTTCTAACGTCTAGGCCATGCTGATTAAAAGCTTGAATGAATCAACACTTAACTCTAAATTCCCCACAATTCGGGAAGCTCTACTCAAATTGGCAACACAGCGTATCTGCCTATTATTCTCATTCGTGATACAGGTCTGCGGTCTGCTGCAAAATTCAGTATGCGTTGAGTCGACAGAAGAAGTACAGTAGATGCGCGCATTACGCACCAGTTCGATTGGACGTCCTGTGAACCGATTTCGGTGATTTCGAGATTTCACGAAATCACCTAAATCACTCTACTTATTTTTATGAATGGATAATTGGTTTTGTAGCAATAAACGTTGCGTCTCATAACAAAAATAAGAAGATACCCACTCTAACAAAAAATAGTACACTCTTAAAAATGTGTATCGAAAATAAAAAGATATTCTAACAAAAAAATAAGTTCTCAAAAATAAAACGCAATAATGAACACAAATGTTTCAAATGGTCCTTCACAGCTGGGGCTCAAAAACGTCTCCTTCATCCAATGAACAGTATGTCAGGCGGTTATAAAACTCCTGACGAACTCTCAAGAGGGTAGAAGGCTGTATTTGCCCGAGTGCTTCAACGATTTTCACCTGTAGGTTATGCAAATTGTCTGCTCTCTCATTGAAAGTGTAAACAGTACTTTTCACATAACCCCACAAGAAAAAATCATTGGGCGCTAGATCGGGTGATCTAGGAGGCCATTTTATTGTTCCGTTACCGCCAATAATCCGGTGGCCGAACACACTTTCAAGGTAAGTGTGTACGATCGCCGCATTATGCGCCGGGCATCCATCTTGTTGGAACCAAATATTAGCGAGATCAATGCCAAGCTGCCTAATTGCAGGAACAATCTGCGTCTGTAGTAACGCCAAATATTTTGCAGCCGTAAGAGTTCCATCAATAAAGAACGGTCCGATAATGTTATTACTTAGAATTCCTGCCCACACATTCAGTTTCTGTGGATACTGCGTGCGGACGGGAATACTGAGGTGTTTATTTTCCCGAGACCAATACCGAACGACTGAAGGATTGTGATGACCGTGGAGAGGGAATGTGGATTCATCAGTAAACAAAATGTTACCAATAAAACTTCCATCCCTGTTCGCCTTCTCCATGACCCGTTCACAAAACTCCATTCGACGGTATTTGTCTAAAGGAAATATTTCTTGAACCGTTCCAACCTTGAAGCTATGATAGCCGTTGCGATGCAAAATATTTCTTGTTGTTCTGGGTGTGAGATCGGCTATTGGTACAATTTCAGCAATTTTTCTGCTTGAGCATGGCTCAGATACTTCTGCAGCGGCACAAACAGCAGTTTCGATCTCCTCCCTTTTCTCGCTAATTTTTGGTTTCCAACCTTCAGGGTGCATGCAGCTATGGCACTTATGTAAGCAGCCCACCCTCTTGAATTTTTCGTAGGTATTTATAACCGTTGCGTGAGACGGATTGGCCGATCTTTGAAACGTACCGCAAATAATTCAACAACCGCGCGTGCTGAATTATTCTGGATGTACCATTCTATCATTTGAAACTTTTCTTCTTGCGAGTACATTTTTAAGATATTCTGGATTAAATAAAGACGCACCTTTCCTACACAAAACCCAACCGCAGAGTGAGTCATGAATCCCTTATCGCACTTGACGACGGCACGCGCGTTAACGGTAGGAAATATGTACGAATAGCGATGAAAGTAGACGAGCCGATGCGCTGTTGCCAAGAAATAATTTCCCATGTATAACATGGTTTTTCCTAAGGTGTATATAAAATTGTTGCATATAAATATTTTATAACGTATTTATTTTAATCTTCCATCAATGTTTTTATTTTCATTTTAGTAATTGATTGTTTTTTAAAAACCCAAAGGCAGTAAAGTAAAACTCAGTAAGCTATTTCAGTGTCAATTACTTTCGTGAAATTCGAGGTCTGAGAAAATACGAGTGCAGAATTCTGGATTTTGTCTAACTAAATAACTGGTATTATTGTGACAGAACAGAAGTGAATGAAGATTGCAAAGTTACATGACTTTATAGAGAGTCATTTAAATGTGATTTCAGATCATAGTCGTTGTTGAGGCCAAAAATAAATGACATTCCATTTTAGTTGTTGTAACTGAAAAAGCAGCAACATGTGATTTACTGCTTTTATACTCTGCAATAACAAATTTACTTCCTTTTTTCGTAGTTTCCATATTTTATTTATATTGCTTTTCAAAGGAAAAACACAGCAATGCAGAATTTTATTTTATTTTTATATAATTTGTTCATATTGAAATTCACGTAAATAGCATAAAAGTACACCTTTTCAACATCTAATCATTCAATTTAATAATTATATGATTACGTTTAACAATTATATTCAACAAAAATAATTAGATATAAACTAAAAATGTTTCCTTATATGTCAAGCTTATCGAAGAATATTTTTCAAAACTATCCTTAATAAGCAAAAGTATAACAATAAATAATACTCTTATGCACAAATAATAGAATTACACCCTCTGTTCCAAAAATAACCGAACTTTTTCAAAATAGAAACACTCAGTGTACATTTTGGGATAATTCTTTTTTATTAATCAATATACTCTCCATTCGCTTCTATACACTTGTGTGCACGCTCAACCAATTTGTCAAATGAGTAGGAAATGTCCTTCTCAGAAACCTTGTCTAGCTCGTCGGTCGTCGCCTTTTGAATGCGGTCAATTGTGTAGTGGTGCTTTCCTTTTATTGTAAGGTGAAGTTTCGGGAATAGAAAATAATCACAGGGTGCCAGATCAGGTGAATACGGTGAGTGGTGCAACGGAATAATCTGATTTTTTGACAAAAATTCGCTCACAAGGCGTGAACGATTAGATGGAGCATTATCGTGCAAAAGTGACCAACTTCCTGGTTCGCGATATTCAGGCCGAATGCGACGAATTCTGGCAAGCAAACGTCGTAAAACGTCACGATAGTACTCCCCCGTCACTGTTGACCGGCTCGGACAAATTCTTTGTCGAATCATGAAAACAAATGCATTGCATTGTCTTCACTTTTGACTTCTCCAAACGACTTTTCTTGGGGATGTCCTTCCTCGGCCGACCTCCATTCAGCAGGTTAACGCTTTGTTTCCGGCTCATATTCAAAACACCACGTCTCGCCACCAGTTACTGTCGTCTTCAAAAAGTTGGGGTTCTTACCAGCTCTTTTAATGATGTCTTTACAATATTCAATTCGATCCCATTTTTGGTCATCAGTGAGATTGTGTGGAACAACTCGTGAGTTTACCTTGCCAAGTCCCAATTCTTCGGTCAAAATGCGATAAACGATAGTAGAAGGGAGGCCCAATTCCATTTCAATGAAACGCACTTACGATTTCTTGTTAGATTTTTGATAAATTCACGCACCTTTTCAATGTGCTCTGTGGATAAACCCGATTTTGGACGGCCTGGTCTTTCGTCATCGCTGATGGTTTCTCTACCCTCTTTGAATCGCTTGACCTCTCGTAAATTTGCGTGCGGGATAAACAATCATTACCATATGCTTGTTGGAGCATTTGGTGCGTTTCGATAAAAAATTTACCAAGTTCAACGTAAAACTCAATCGCAGCTCTTTGTTTGAACTTCATTTTCCGACCGATAGTCAGAACGTACTAACACATCCGATCTTCATGAAACCTTGACAGAATGTTAATGAATGTCTGCACTTTCGAACGCAAAGTTTACTACAGATGTCGCTAGTGGTTCTTTCTATTTTGAAAAAGTTCGGTTATTATTTGAAAAAACTAAATAAGCAAACATCATGATGGTTATAAAAGGGTAGTTGTATCACTCAAAGAATAAAATCAGTATAGTTTGAAGACTACACCTATTTTTTGTTTTACTGCTTTTATGCTTAGGAAATGTAACTAAATGAAATGTTTGACACAGTGAAAATCTTACTAATTTTCTTAAATAACGTGATCAATAATACGAGCCCCTTCCAACTTCAGTTGGCCCACTTCAAGAGTTGTACCAAAATATGCCTTTATAAATCAAACATGACGAAACTATTTACTTCTAAAACAATTTATTTTCTTAAAAACACTTTAGATACACTCTAGTCGTAAAAAATACATATTTGAACTATAGACCTATAACTAATAGAACATCTGAACAAATAAACAATGTGCGAATAAATGCGCGACAATTGAAATATTACCATTCGGTAACATCACCTTTATTTTTTATTACGGCTGAAATTCTGTGAAGCATAGTGTTAACCAAGTTTTGGTAAACATTTGTTGTAAAACAATCCCATATTTCTTGAAGCTTTTGGCTCAGTTCGGTGATTGTACGAGCAGGATGTTGTCTCATCTCGTGCCGCAAAGTTTCAATAGGTGACAGATCTGGACTGCTAGAAACCCATTTCAAAAGTGGTACATTATTTTCTTCCATCCATTTTATAGCCTATTTTGAGGTATGGCACGCTGCACCATCTTGCTGAAATATAAAATCTTGGCCGGATGTCAAACATTCTTCCATCACTGGTAAAAGCGATTCTTCTAAAAATGCCAAATATTTGTTTGTATCCACATTTCCATCAATAAAATGAAGTTTTCCTACTCCTTTTGATGACATACTGCCCCAGACCATAATGGATGCTGGAAATTTCACTTTTCTCTTCAGACAGTCAACATGGAATGCTTCATTTTTTTGCGAATAACTCTACTGCGACTGTCACCAACACAAACTTCGAATCGGGCCTCATCACTCCATTGTATTGCACACCATTGTTGAGGTGTCCATTATCTATGTTCTTTAGCCCATCTAAGCTGATTTTTCTTTTGCAGTGGAGTTAATAGTGGCTTTTCTTTGGCCTATAAACAAGTTGTGCAACTTTAGGGTTTTTACTTCACTTTTTTTATAAGAAAACTTACCTTGCAAGAGCTAAATCCCAGTTTGTGGGCCTCTCTATGAGTGGACCTCGAAATTCTCCTTCCAACAGCGTCACTCCACAGAGCACTTAATTGTAAATAATTGGCACGCCTGTTTTTCACGATTATTCTTCTTAATGCTCTTCGGTCGGCATTTGTTTTATTACTTTTTTTCACATATCGTGGCTTACTATTAACTGAACCAGTTATGTTATATCTTCTAACAATATTTCTCACACTGTACCGCGATAAGTCTAACAAAGTTGCAATTTCTGAGTTTGATTTCCCAGGATTAAAAAATTTAATTATCAGTAACTGAATTTTCTCACTAATAACCTTTCCTCTACTGAAAACCTTAACTACCCAAAACTATTTTAAACGTATTCTGACAGCTGTGATTAATAAAAACAATTGTCATGACTTTTATTTTTCACAGCCACCTATGCGTTATAGACTTATTTTACATTGAAATGAAAATAGGTTGATATGCTGTAATTGTAACGTGTAATTTTTATGCTGCAAATTTGATTAGGGCGTGATAAAGTTGGTGTTTTCTACTATATATTATCAAAATATTCATTGTTAATATTTTACACCTATAACACCCTGCTACATTTTTATTATTTGTGTTTGATAAGAAAAAAACTAAGATTTCAATAGTTGGACCAACTGAAGTGGGAAGGGGCTCGTATATTTTGTAATTGCAATCACAAAAAAATATATTGGCGTCAAAATTTAATAAAGCAGTAAACGAACTTCACTGCTTTTACCCAAGTTTGGCAGTGTAGATCCTTAACCTTTTCATTCTGATGACAGATATGCATGAATTTTTGACAATTTCGAATTTGTAAATTTCAGGTGACTTCGTGAAGACTACTAACCCTGGTTATGTGCCGTATAGTCCCCCTGAGCCCTCATCCAAGAAATCCATGGGCTATGTGATGGCAGGTTTGACCAAGGATATGATTACCCCAAACATACTTCAGTGCAAACCATCGCCAGAAGAGAAACCTGGCTATGTGAAAGCCGAGAACCTGGCAAACCTAAAAACCGGCCAGTTTGCCTGGCAGTCTCAGCCTGAGCCTGCCCTGCCAAAAACGGGCTATGTGAGTGTAGGGGATGCTCTTCCCCCTGCAAAGACTACAATGGAGATTACGAAGGGATATGTGCCCCATCGGCAGTTTGAGACTAAAGCCCTAAAGGAGGACTAGATAGAGTGTATGGAAAATTTTTACTTGTATTGGGTGGAAAGTATGGCGTAGTATTTTGAATTTGATAGACAAGGCGAAAACCTCGTATTTTACAGCTTTTAGTTAAAAAAAAACAGTAAAAAACCCCATTTTCACTGCTGAAAAACTCGGTCGAAGAATTCATTTTGGAAGGTGGCCAGATATCTAAATTAAACATTCTGGGGATTAATACTAATGATAATAATAATCGTTTATCATCCAATTGACAAGTATAAAAAAGAACTCTCAACAACAGTGATAACCAACAACGTTCAGGATAAAATTTCATACACTAATAAAATATTTTCGGACTCAAGATGTGGGGATATCATGTACGTCCCTATTCAAATTATAATTTGTTTTATTTCATAAATCAATAGGCCAGGCAATGTTAAGATCTCCAGTTTTTTGAACATCTGCCTACAGTTGTGGGTGCTGTTTACTCGCACTACAAACCGAACAACTCTGTTTTGAGCATTTATAGATAAGCCCCAGAAATATATCGCGTAACGCAGATGGGCTTCAATCCGGGAGTAGTACAACATCAATAACTGCCTTTCGGTAAATACCGATTTCATATTTTTAAAAATATAGGTGCAAATTCATTTTATTGGATATTTAATCACAATGCTGTTCGAAACTAACACATTCATCTAGATACAACCCTAAGGATTTTGTCTCCAGATCAAATTGTAATGTTATGTTATTTAGTGTGAGTATTATGATATCGTAGCACATGGGTTTTTTCAAACTTCAAATGGAGCTGATTATCCTCAAAACAGTTACTGATGCTGTTTAGTAGGCGCTTGCTGGTGTCCTGTAAGTCTGTGTCATTTTTATCTCATATACTATGGTTGAAGCATCATCTGCGTACAACGTAAAATGGCCTGCGGAGGAGTGCTTAAGATTGTTGATGTATAGTGAGAACAGCACTGGTCCCAGTGCAGAACCTTGTGGTTCACCTATGTCAATATATTAGTTTTATCTGATGTTACATGTCTCACTTCCGCATTACAGGTGCAGGCAAAGGAAACATATTTCGATCTACTTTGCAAGTATGACTTTATCCAAAGATACGCTGTTCCACCAATTCCATATTTAGCTAATATCATCAACAATAGATCATGATTGAAACAGTCAAAGGACTTACTAAGATCGTAGAAGATCCCAACAGGGCATTCGCCCGCCTCAATGTGTTTAACCATTGTATCAAAAAAATAATGTGAGGCTGTTGATTTTCCGCTTCGAAAACCATGCTGATTTTGCGATAATATATTGTTGTCATTCAACTAGATCTACTTTACCTGTTTCCAAGTTATCCGGATTTACACCAGTACACAAAGATAGGTTTAACCAAAAAGGTCGCATTATCTATACATGAAGAGGGCTATTTTTTAATTTACTGAAGATTAAGTTAAAAAAATCTTCATCTGCAAAGGTGTATAACATTTTATTTTGATGTTCAGTATTGACGATTATTTGCAGCATCTATTTGGCATCCCACTGATTATGTAAAGAGGGGCATTTTTGAAATAATCGTTGAATTCGTCAGCAATTTCATATGGATCCTTAGTCCATCATTATTTAAAACAATATTTTTTGGGGATGTGCTTATGTAGCATTGTGAGATCTAAAAATTCTTTCTTGATTAAAACAATTGACACGAGTGGATTATTAGATAGAAACTTCTCGTTTTCGTTACTAATACATATATGGAATATTTTATTTACTGAAAAATTCATCAACAATTCTCTCCAGAGATAGTTCCGTATTTCTCCCGAATTCTTTCGATTTCAATATTCTCTGGCGCTGCTGTTCTATTCTTATTTTGAAGAATATTTACTTTTCTAAACGGAACTGTTTCGTCATATGATTCTTTGTATAAGTAGGAACCATACTCATCTACTCTTATTCATTTAATACCGTCACTAAATCTGATTGTTTCATTCAGTTCGACCTTTTTTCTACGTATTAATAAGATGAAGTTTTTTCGGTAGGTCAGCAATCCTTCTGAAGTGTTGAATCATAACGATAACTTGATTTTGTCGGCTAGCCTTTGAAATGATTTCCCGGTAGGTATCTAGTACATAGGTGTGTCGTGTTGTCGTAAAACCTTCTCTTTTCTCCCAAAATCTCTGTCACAGTCTAAGTAAATATGGCGAACCTCAAGAAATTTGTGGTCAATACAACGGAAGTTATTGTCCGGGCCCGCACATGAATCAGACCGGATGATCAGATAATCGTTTTTGCTCATGCTTTCGTTCACTTCAATATATCTGAGTAGAGAATTGCATATTTCTGCGCTTCCTCTGTTTGCGAGATCTTCGGTCCAGGCACAAAGAAAAAAGCTTTTTCTATGCCTTTTGTAGTAATATGCACCCCAAAATTGTAAAACCATATTTGCCTAAGGTGAAATGCTTTGGACGTTGTTAGTTTTGGTAACGGCATTGTGTGTTGCACATCTATTGTAATATAGACTAAATTGTTTGAATATTTTGCTTTTTCCTTATCAACTTTTTGGATGCCCAAATGACAAATTGAACTCTGTTGCAAAAATGCTGGAATATGAAAATTTTTTAATTTTAAATCTTCCAGGATGTTTTGCTAGATTACACTCCTTAAGATACAATTCATATATTTTGCTTAAATTTAGTAAGGAAGAAACGTATTTTTTATGAGAATGTCTATTGCTATGACAAAATTCCTAACATATTGCTCTATTTTGTGTGGCCTCTGTTTACTTCTGCGGTCTGGAGGAGGAGCTGAAACACCACTATTTATATGACTCTTCATAATTTTTCTGCCTATTTGGTATAGAGCGCATAACGCCTCGTAGCACACTTTTTCGGTAATTTCATTTTTTGTAACGTTATATGTATATCATGCAGTTTAATGTTTAACAGCATCTTCTCTTTCCCTCAACACTATTTTTTTAATGATTGATATGAATAATAAAGCATTTTTGCATTCATATCAAGTGTATAAAATTCCTCTAAAAATGCTTTCCTCTCATCTTCTGAACATTTAGTGCTACAAGAAGGTCTACAGCCTCCCCTACAAAGAATACCTCTTTTCGGCACCTTTCTTGGATCAAGAATATTTTTGTAGGACAAATATTCTTCGTTTTATGCTCTATCTAAAGCTGCTTTGCGTTTCTTTCAGATATTTGGATTTCTCTTTTTCTTCTTAGGAACGTTTTCTTTCGGAGAAAAGATCTTTAGTGCTCTTTTTTTCATTTTCTTGGCCGTCCTCGTCAGATCCATTAGAAGGATTAATTACAGGGTTTTGAATAATTCCACTTTCTGGTCTCCAGCAATGAACAAGTTTTTTTTACATGATTTTTGCTCCGCTCTTTCTTCATCCTCCGAGTCACTTGTTCCTGAAGAACTGCTTAATTCATCATTATTCGGAAAATATTCAGGATCTCTATCACAGTCTGAGAAGTATGGTTGTGTCCCCTCAAATTCTGAAAATGAAAACAGCTGTTCATAGTCTGTCTAAAGTTAATTGAAACTGAAATATGTTGTAGACGTAACAAACATTTTGTAATTAGTCTACTACAAATATTATCTTTTTATGAGTATAATCAATATATACAAGAACGGAAAATCATTAATAACCAAAAAATTCAATCACTTTTCCTTGAAGACGTAAAAATACTAGTTTGTGTCAATCACTACCAATAACAATAGAATTGCACTTAGACCCTATTTAATGAGTATCCATCACGGTAGAATGGCAGCTGGTAATCTAATAATACTTCAAAATTCCCCATATCAACACAGGAAACATAATTCTGACGGATCCGTCAACGCCAGGTAGACAGAGCCGTATGTTGTTTTGGATTTTGTACGCTACAGTTTAATTTTGTACTTGCTGACAGCTCTTTGATTTAGAAAAGACAACATGCCGCAAATAAGTTTTACTAGATTCATAGCCAATTCATTATTGTCAACGTTGCAGACTAACACAAAAATGTCACTTGCTGATCAGCTGTCCACCTCAGTAGACGTCAAAGCGTGATTTATATTCGTGAAATAGGGTATACCTGTTACATTTGAAATTTAAATTTTGAGGTTTGAACTCGCTGTCAATTCATAAATTTCATCATTTGGCACATTTTGTTCATGCACTAGCTTTAACATTTGTTTTCTCCTGGAGCCCATTTTGAATGTTTACTTGCATTAGTATCACAATATTACTATAAAATACTAACACAGAACACGCCCGCACAATACCGACAAGTACATAAAACAAAATGGCCAGTGAGTTGATGAAGGGGTCATGTGTCACACATATCACCATCATTCATACGACTAAGGTATACAAAATATTACATATAATGTGGATGTAGGTCTTTTGTGCCTATAACACCTTCTTCTACTGTTTAGTGGAAAATAATGTAACAGAACTCCTTCATTCATTAAAAAATCTAGACTTCTGTTACGAATCTTAGAATTTTAATAGAGCCATGTGAAAAGAGGTACATAGTACCATACAGAAAAAACGGTTTCTAGAAAAATGTTACATAGCACCTTCATCCACTCGTGTCTTCAATTGTTACATTATTTTAATCCCCATAATGTCGAAAATACTGCAGAAGTTTCAAAAAATGATGTCAATAATTGAATCCAATATTCGTCTGATCATAATTTGGCTGTCAACCCTCAACAGTCTAAACAGTTTTTTGTGTCACTCTTGAAGGTCCAAATAAGTAATCAAAAATTAAGATTTACAATCACTGTTTTTTCTGTTCTACTTTTTGGTGTACTTTGCTTCGGAAAGCATGTCAGTTTTCTCTTTATTGTAATACAGCTGGGATTATTGTTAAATCGAACAATAACTCGATATCTAATACTGACGCGCTGAATGATATTAAAAATAATTTTAACCCCAAGGATCTTCAACTGTGTTTAAGTGGTATCAAGAAAATTCGCAATGGAGTAGTTATTTGCTGCGATGATGACAAATCGTTGGGAAAACAAAAGGAACATGTTTCTAACAAAAAACTGTAAGTCGTCCATTGTGTGTTCTTCATGCAGCGGTGAACATCGATATAAAGAATGCTCGTCCGAAGTCCTTAAGTGCGTTAATTGTGTTAAAAGTAACCAAAAATACAAAACTAACTATGATGTTTGCCATTCGAAGAATGACGAAGGTTCGTGCTTGGTGTTACAACATTACATAAATACTCAAATCTGAAATCAATTATGGAACATAAAAAATAGAATAGTTCACATAAATGTAAGGTGGTTACTTTCCAATTTTTCCGATTTTGTAGTTTTTGAAAAAATTAGATATAGTTGCTGTATCGGAAACTTGGTTGTCCAAATGTACTAGCTCTAAAACTGTCAATATACCTGGCTTCAGCTTTTGTAGAAATGATAGGCCATCCCGTGGTGGAGGTGTCGGTATTTATATTAGCAGCAACATCAAGTATGAAGTACTTACTTCTTGCACAGATGCTTGATCAAATTTAAAATTCGTCACTGTAGTTACTGCGTGGATGTAATGTATAGACCTCCGAGTGAAAATGTTTTGAATGTTATCGAATGTCTCGATCATTTGCTACCTGTCCTAGTAACTGAATACGACAATTTAATCATGTTAGGTGATCTAAACGTTAACTTATTGATAAAAAATAACAAAATCAGTGAATGTTTTCAGTCATATGGCTTTATACAAATTATCGAAAATCCTACTAGAATTACTGAGACAAGTAGCACTCTCCTGGATCCCATATTTCTGTCTGATGTTGAGGTTTGCGGTGAAAAGAGTACCATCAACGCTGATACCATTAGTGACCATCAAATGGTTTTCTGTGACCTACTTTGTAGTTTCCATAAAGAGCATAAGTATGTGACTTTCAGAGACTATAAACACTTCAACTTAGATAACTTCAACAGAGACTTACATCAAATGAACTGGGAGCAGGTCTTATACTTTAGTGACGTTGAAACCAAATTGAATTTTTTGACTGACAACATCAATGCCATCTTTGATTTACATTGCCCAATTCGGACAGTGCGTGTCACTAGAATAGACTAGACTAGAAAGCACCATGGTGGACAGCCAATCTGAAGTTAATTTTCAAGGAAAGAGATAGAGCGCTGACTAAATTCAAAACCAATCCGTCTGTTCAAAACTGGAATAATTACAAATCTTTGAAAAATTACGCATTACAGTCGTTACGGAATGAAAAGCCTGCATTTTTGAGAACTCCCTCTGTATTATACACTTCTTTGAAAAATATGCGCGTTCAAGCAATTAAATCTTCTGAAATCCCATCAGCACTCACAGACCCTTACAAAGTCAGTTTTTCAAAACAGTGATGAAGCGTCCTTGGAAAAAATACTTTTCTACAGGACAAATAACTTTTTCAAAGAAATTCATTTTCTTTTAAGCTAGTTAATTTAGATGTGATTAAAACTGTTCTGCTTCTGGAACGGATGGTATCACGTTACAAATGTTAAAGTTATGCTTTTCGGTAATTGGCATTTATCTACTACATGTTATTAATATTTGTTTGGAAACTGGATACTTTCCCGACCTTTGGAAGACAGCTCTTGTGACTCCTCTGCCGAAATTGTCTAATCCGATATCCAACGCTGACCTCAGCCTAATAAGCATATTGCCATTAATGTCTACAATTTTAGAACGAGTAATACACAGATTCTAGATCATCTCAATGCACATAATATAATCCCCACCCATCAATCAGGCTTTCAGAAAAACCGCAGTACAACTACAGCCTTGTCTTATCTTGATAACATCATATCTTCCATCGACAGTAAAAACATGAGCTTGCTGGTACTGTTAGACTTTTCCAAAGCCTTCGATACGCTTAACCACGTACTACTTATTGCCAAGTGTCAGTACTATGGCTTCGATGAAGTTGCCTGCAACTTTATTAGGTCATATTTAAGGGAACGGAGGCAAAAAGTAAATATCAGTAATCAAATTTCGACATCAAAGTACATTCAGTCAGGTGTCCACAAGGCTCAGTACTGGCACCATTGATGTGTTTACTTTACACTGCAGATTTACATGATAACTTCAAGAATATACATGCTCAATTTTTTGCTGATGATACGCAGATGAAGTATGATTTTAATGCCGACATGTCCAGGAGTCCATGATGCTAGTAAATGCCGATCTTGATAGTGTTGCAGCTCTCACAACTTGAGACTAAATCCCTCAAAATGTTCTGCCATATTATTTGGCAATAAAAGATTATGTGAAAACCTTAAACCACTAATTCACATCAAAGTTAATGGGGAGGAAATTATTTTTTCTGGAATAGTAAAAAATTTGGGCATTCACTTTGACTCGGACTTACGTTTTAACTCCCATCTGAATAGTGTCTTGAAAAATTGTCATCTATCCCTCAGGCTTCTATTTACAAACAAACATATTCTGCATAGAAACATCAAAATTAAATTCTGTCAAAGTTTAGTTATTTCTAAAATGTTATATGGCCTATCCATATATTACTCCTGTCTGACGTCTATTAACGCAAAACGTTTGCAGATAATGCAGAATACCTGTGTACGGTTTATCGAAGGCCTAAGAAAGTTCGATCATGTATCACACTCGTTGTATGGTTATGCGTTCAAAACCTTTTCAAATACTCCATTCTCAGCTTTAATCACAGGATCATACTAACATCATACCCTCAATACCTCAGCTGTAAACTTGTTCCAAGGGCATCTGTGCATAATCTTCAGGTTCGTAACCTTAACTATTCCAATACATCGCACAACACTTTTTAGACGATGTTTCACATACAATGCAATTTTATATTACAATAGCTTAGGCCAGGATATGAAGACTATCCAGTCTTCCCGGAGTTTTAAAACTCACTTAAAAAGATATTTACAAGAATTGCAAAACAACCGCTAGCTTAAGACGTTCTTTCATTTTCATACTTTTTTATTTTTGATCAGTAATTTTTCCGTTTCTTCATAACCTATTATCTCTTCTTTTTATAGCTAAATTGGCATTAATCGTTCTATTATTCTGTGAATTAATCTTTGTAGTTTCACATTGTTTTGTTTTTGTATAAATTGTTTTTTTTCACTTTTGTACAGGGTTAGATGGTGGAATAGCAGGTGCTAAATCTCGCTCCATGAAGTGTGCCATGTTTTAGTCAATAAAGACGATTATTCTTATAATAATTCATTACAAAACATTTAAATGTGTTGTGAATAATATTTCATTATTATTAACATCTGCTAGTGACTTTTATGATTAAATGTAAGAGTAACAAACTCATTCCGCCAATTAAGTCGTACCTTATCTTCATAACAATGTTGTAAAGAAATGAAGGCGTCTATTAGTATCATTATTAATTTCTCACATCGAACAGTATTTTGGGCTGAATTTATGTTGAAGCATTGTTATTTAATTGCTAACAACATGCAATAGACTAGTGCATACTTGGCAACCTAAAAAATAATAATTTTCAACCGAGTTTTTAAGCATTGAAAACGGCCATTTTCAGTTTTTTCAAACTGAATCGGTCAACTTAAAACACAACTTACAAAGGACCTAAAACTAAAAAAAAGAAATTGGAACGAAATAAAACAATTTTTTCTAATTTCTTGAAAAAATGTGTTTAAGCGCGCTTTCTTGGTGTACTCCATCACCCGATTGAATAAATGAAACTTTTACAACAAATTGTACTATTCGATTGCATAAGCTAAGTCCGAAAATGTCTCCGTCTCCCACAAATGAGAGGTTTTCTACAACAATCATAGAAAATATATCCCGTTTGATTTTCTACAAGTGCCGAGATAATTTTCGAGTTTTTTTTGCAAGCGAGCATTTGAAAGTGAACGTGTATTTTAATACAGCAGTAAAACAATCGTCAGAGGTTTTAGTGGGGGTTCAGGAACCATGGAAAAGTTACAGAAGCAAGTCAGAGATAGTATGAAAATGAGCTTCAAAAAGACTTTAATCAGGATAATTTCAAAAACCTGTCCATGGAAGGTGGGGTAATTTTTGAATATATTTTGCCAGTGTTTTTCATTGAAACCTCAGATGGATTGAATTATTTTATTCGACATTTTATAATCAATTTTAGGTTGATATTTTCGCGAGAGTTTCATAGTTATGGCTCACATACCTGAATAAAGTTTGTTTTTTAGTGGGAAAGAACCTCCTATTTTGATTTTCAAAATATGGACTTTCCTATTGAAAATGATTCGATACAGCTTTAATTATCAAATCACCGAGTGATTGGTTAGAACAGCATACATACCAGATAATTCGGGCAAAAATGCTAGTTTAATTTATCCGAATTTGGAAAAGAAATTGAACCGTCTTCGTCACCTCATTCATTTCGGCATCAAATTGATATCAGCTTCCGAATGTACGCATCCAATTTACCCAGGATATGTTTTTATCCAGATACGTACTTTCAAAGTTTGAGGAGCCAGGAATTAGCGGACCGACAGACTGACTGACAGACCAAAGTGATCGGATTTTTCATGATGTATATGTCATGATACATCCAAACAACATTGATCCAAAAAACTCCAAGCGATACCAGGGCCATGTAACAAACGCTACAAGTTGTAAAATTGTAAAAACTCGCTCTACACTTGTGATTATTTCGAATCACAACACCGTGTAGGTACGGGTGCGGCGCCAGTAATAACAGGAGTAAAATTACAAGGATCTTATAGAATATGCGATCCTAACTTGTAGGATTGAGACACAGAATTTCCTACAATTGTATTTAATGTTTTACTTATTTATATCTCTGGGTAGGAATTCGTAATGACATTATAATAGTACGAGGGCTGTTTCAAAAATACGGTTTCCAACGTTATAACTTTGCCGCGCGTGATGCTAGGGGAATTCTGGCAACACCGTCGTATTTGTCGGCTCCCTTACCACGGATCCCAACAAGGAGCGCCTATTGGCGATGCTCAGTACCGGTCTGACAGTCATGCGCAATGGAGCCCTTCATCGCCGTCACCGCCAGGTGCGAAATTCGTTCGGTCATCCACTTTTTGCAAGCAAAAACATTACCACAGATAGAAATTCATCGCCAGTTGAGTGAAGTATATGCGAAACGTGTATAAACATTCAACGTGTCCTCAAATGGTGAAGAGATTTCTTTGATGGCCTCATGAAGATCCACGATGAACAACGAAGAGGGAGGCCGTCGATCTCCGAGGAAGTTATGGCGAAGATTGAGCAAATCTTACTCGAAGATTGCCGAATCACGATCCGAAAACATTCGGTTGAAATTCCCGAGGCTTCTGAAAAAGCTGAGACGGGCAATCCAAAATCGTCCGTAGGGAAAAACTGCAAAGCGTGAGACGACAATGCGCACCCTCATGTCGCACAACAAACGAAGGAGTGAATCGAGCGATTTGGCTGAGAAGTCATTGCCCATCCCCCTTACAGCCCTGACATAGCGTTTCCGAAATTGAAGGAGCAGTTAGCAAGTTTTCAAACGGGCTGGCAGCGTACTTACTTGAGCCGGGAGTGAAAAAGTGGACTCCACGTCTAAAAAAATGCGTAGAAAAAATGGAGACCTTGTATAAAAATAAGTCAAAGATCATCACGTTTCCAAATGGTAAATTCGTTTTTTCAAATAAAAAATTCCTTTTGTCTTAAAAAAATGTGGGAACCATATTTTTGAAGCTACCCTCGTAACTTCACTATTGTGAAGATTTATATTTTGTCTTGTTTTTTTTTATCAGGAAACGTACCAAAAAGGATGGGCTTGTTTTCTTCAATTTTATTCAAGAACTGCATCTTACGTTCAAAAACAATCTTTTTTGTGGACACGATATACTCATATAAAACTATGATTTCAACACAATTCGGTCCAAAATCACAAATTACGACAATTTTTTATCAGAATTGTTTTACACTTGTAGCTATAATGGTAATATTTCACTCATGTCTTTCACTTGTAGTTAAACGTGTAGTTATTTGCGTTGTGTTACGGAATTTAGTACGACTATTAGATACGAAAAATTACTTGTAATACTTGTGTTCGTGTTACAGGCCTCTGGTGTATTGCGACAATAACTCTATGTAAGTTTTCACGTTCTCGAGGTCCCGTGGGTTTTTTTGGGTGAAAAGCGAGGCTGGCTACATTGATTAGAATCAGGCCGTTACCTGGGCCCTTCTCAAGTTCGGCCTGGCCATATGTATTAATTTCAGATGTTGCATGCATTCTTTAGATATGAATAATTTGTAATAATTTGTTTTTTTATAGGTTACGTATTGGCAGATGCGATGATGTCACTGAATTGGGTTCCAAAGACACCTCCCCATGGTCAAATGACTGTGTGTTTGGCGTATACCCTGCTGTTTAGAGTGAGATAGAGTTGTCATACATTTCTAACAGCACAGGATCTTTCCCTTACAACTCGTGCGACTCACCTCCTTCGCCTACACCATATGTCATGGCAGGTGCTTTATATTTTAATAATTAAGTGTGAATCGAATCATTGATCAGTAATTATCAAATCACTGAGTGATTTGTTAAAACAGCGTACATACCAGATAATTACGGCACACAAACCGTGTAATTTCTCCACATTTGGGAAAGAAATTGAACCGTCTGCGACACCTTATCCATTCCGGCATCAAATTGACATGGAATTCGGAATCTATGCACCCGATTTGCCCAGGATACGAGTTTTCACTTTTGTGTAAAATTCTAGCATTAGTGCTGCGGGCGCCCATGTTTATATTACAAATAGATATAGTGCCTCTACCAAACAACATCTAACACGCTATCCAGCATCAGGTCAACCAATAATACTTTCTCTTTCATCTCTATATCGTGTAATTCATTATAGTTCTTTATTTAGTTTTACTATTCATAGACATACAATCAGACATACAATGGACTAATTTGTATCTAAATTTAGTGATAACTCTTAGTATAGAGATGGTTGGCTGTAAGAATAGCATTGCTCAACTCCTCCAATAATGCCAATACAAATGTACACAATTTACCCAGATAATAAAGCATCAGAGTCTATCTATTTTATAACATATGTGTTTTACCCTTTCATCAACATTTGTATGTTCATTTTAATAACTAATTGTCTTTTAAAAGCCCAATGGTTATAATTTTGGTATTTTTGTCCAAAATTCACTAATTTTTGAATATTTAATTCAATATTTTTTTATATAATCGTAACATTGTCTACTTCAAATCTGTGATAAAACACGCTAAGATACAACACAGAATACAAAAGATGAAGCGACAACTCTCTCTTTCTCTCTCTCTCTCTCTCATTATCATGTGTATTGATTTGTTTCACCTTTTTTTTTTAATTTAAGCGCAGTGAAGCGCCAATTCTAGTTTCAAATATGTTTTGCATCTTAGTAACACGCTGAAGAAAGTTCAAAATACATATGTTCCAAAATATTCAAATGCAAAAGTTGCATAGTTGAAACAGTAACGTGTAAAAATCGAACTCTGAGAAAATTGAGTGCAAAATTCTGGATTTTGTCGAACTAAATAAATAGTATTTTTTATATACTATTTTTTTTTATTTTTTGTGTTATATTCTGTAAATAGTTTTCTCCATTTTTGTATATAAACCTTGATTTTATTTAATGCAATTAAGGCATAAAGCGGAAGTGTCTATCATGTGGAAGTTTTAAGATTTGTCAAAATTGAAGTCATTACATTACACTATATAATAAGATTGTTAAACTTCTGTAATACAGCACTATGTTGCCTACTCAAAATTGTGAAAATAAATTTAATGCAATTATAGCTAATCAAATAAATCGCCGCTAGTTTAAAATAAAGATAAGTTTCCTTAACCATCAGTCTAAATGTAAAAATGCGTGTACAAGTTTGCTATTTAAAAAGGAACGCGCGCATAAAACATGGAATTTTGGAGACTGAACAAGTGTCCAATTGATTTGCCAGACTGTTTTTAGGTCACTATACAAATGTTTTGAAGCTGGCGAAAATGTAAAAATAATGAAGATAGTGTAAATGGGCATACAATAGAGAATATACATAAGCAGATCTTCCACAGACTAGATACGATCCCATTTTGAAAAAAATTGAAAATTTTGTGCCTTACAATTTTGACTGAGCATAAAAAAAATTAAGATTTTGGTATTTATATAGGGTAGTTAACTTGCCAGAATAATAAATAGATGCTTGCATTTGCAATTCTAGTGATACTCATAAGCACTATGTCCTTTTGACTGAATTAGAATGTCAATTTATGTAATTTTTAATGTTTCACAAAATGGGGTCCTCAATATTAGAATCTCTGAAACTACGTGTAAAAATATATATTAACAATGTCCTTTACTGACTTTGATATTTTAAATTTTTTTCCAAAATTCTGACAATTTCATAAAATTTGTCTTTGATGAATGTTTCATCTCTTATAGTTTCTGGGGTTCGGGCCCCACTGTATAGAAGTAGATGTAACATGATGAATAAGACTTTTTTCGAAAACCTTACATCTGCTTTGTGATGTCTTTTGGATCAGCTCTGGAAAATGGCAGCTGCTTTTTTTATCGAATTTAGAAAAATTGCAGCTGCTAGCTTTATATTTGGACTAAAAGGCGTTGAGTTATATTTTTCAATAATGATGCTAAAGTAATATACATAAGCAAATGCGAATTTCAATCAGAACTTCACAAAACCTACTATTACAAAATTTTACCTTCCAACACCATCAAAAAACGCATTTTGAGTATGTTACCTACAAAATAATGGCAGTATTTTTCTAAATTTGAAGTCTACTCGGAATCGACTCATTTTGGTGCTCAACTATATATAGCTTTCTGTCTATTAAATTTTGAGATATCCTGTATTTTTGAAAAGGGTAAAAAATAACTGTCGTTTTGTATGATCAACAAGTGCAATATTTGGATTATCAAAGTTGTGAGATTTTCTGTATCAAAGACTGACTGTGATAAAATTATGACATTTTTGAATGAGTTTTGATTGAAATTGTGCATCAATGCCAGCTACAGATAAATTTTTATACTTTTTGAGAATACATATTCTCAGATAGACAAGGAAAATACTCTGCATACATACATATGTATAATAAACATAGTTTAGTACAAACCATGAAAATTGAAAAATTTTCATGGTGACACATTTTCACATTGTTTATATGTGAACCTGAACACATGTGGCTGGATGTTTTTCTAAGTAAGATGTAGTCAATAGAACATTTAAATTTATATCAAGTTGTACCTATAATAATTATGTATTGTCATGTTCCTCTTTTCATAAAACTTCAAATATATGTATTATATTTAAAATGGTCGTTATTACTCAGCATCCCCTTGTGGCACTTCCACAGTATATTGAAACAAACTAAAGAACGTAACTTCCATAGATTATTAAATATATTAAATGAGTCGTTTAACTTAAAACTAATCAGTCACTAAAAAATCAAATATCTGCCTATACAGGGTGTCCTAGATAAGGATCCCATGCATGAGGATCTCATTGCCTTTTGGAGATGCACCTTAGGTTAAATTAGGAAAAAAACTGCGTTCTTTGGAGCGTATTCATATGACGTTGAAGTAAATATTTCAGGGCTGAGGTTTTTGGTCAGATCGTTTTTATTTTTTTGTGACTCTATTACTAAATATAAAAAAACTGGCGGAACTTTTTCATTGGCACTTTTTACTCACTACATGGTGTTTTTAAATGTTGTGCCCGACTTTCGTTTTTGAGAAACAATCTAGTTTATTTTTTTATATGGTCCGAAAAAAAGTACGTCCATCTTTTTCTACGAATTCAACGATGGGGTTTCTTAGTTATGAAGAAAAATGTTTTTATTTTTTTTTATTTAAGTAGGCATTGCAAACAGATGCTTGATATAAGATTATGTGATTACTCATAGATGCATATTACATAATATGATGTACTACTTTTATCAAATGTTGTTTAATCTAGTGATATTTAGGATAACGAATATATTTTTAACATTATGTTTATTTCATTTACAATAGGTTGCCATTATTCTCTAATCATAAATATGATCTTTAGGATTCAAAACATCAGGTGACATTTCTGGTGTAATCATACTAAATGCTTCCATTACACATTCTCGTAACTGCTGCTTAGTTCGAAAGTATGCTGATAAACGGGAAATTCGATTTTCCTAGTTTTTCCGGACTTCCTCTATGCATCTTAGAAACATTCAAAAATGCACAATTAAAACATTTGGCATTTTAATAACTCACTATTCAAGTGTAGTTCTAAATAATAACCAATTAAAAATATGTTGATTTCTTTGCTTAAGTTATAACTCTATTTCCTGCTAATATAACGTAAGTCTCTAACAGTTTTTGGACCGTTTTCCATCATTATTAATCAACTGTAATAGATATTCGAAATTTCAATCTCTCAGAACTCGAACACTATTTTCAGCCCAAAAAGTAGGTACTTTAAAATGTTGTTTTGTCGGTGACAATTTTTTTGTCTAAAGAATAATTCAAAATGTGTGACTCACAAAGTCTTTGCAATGACAGATTCATATCTTTCCACTACTAATAATCCCAGAATGCCTATCTTATGTCCATTTAAATATAGGTATTTTAGTAATTTTTAGTATTCCATTATTAAAATATACATATCCCTTTGCTCCGAATATGATATTCAAAAATACAGATTCGGTTGTGTAGTAAAAATCGACGTACACGTATAAAAAACAACAAACTTTCACAGCCTAAACAAGTACGTCCTTATAGCCAAGTGGTAGCAAGGGTTAGGACGCACTACGGCTAAACCGCCGCGGATTTTACCCGTCTCATTTTGTGAGTAAAGTAAACTCATGGAAGCGGCCACACTGGCGGTTTTTTCCCGTGACTGATTTTAATACCGCGACTTATTACAGAATGGTAAGAGGGAAAAAACCGCGCCAAAATTTGTAGTCCATAGAACTTATATCGGGGCGCACACATTTGACGTGGCAACCGCGCGAGGTACTGTCATTCTTCGGAACACCGTCATGAAGAACCATATAGGCGAATATTATGTACGTGCACTGCGTCATGGAACGGCTTAATCCCCATGTTTTGCCATGAGAGCGTTTGATCTGCGGGTTCCAGGTTAGTTTGGAGTCTAGTATTACCCCCAGGTATTTGACTTCTCCCGACTACGCGTGATTCGATAACAGAACAGTTATCACGGTGGGCGTACGACGCCAACAGCAGTCGCGGCCGATAGGTACGCGATCCGTCCCCCGAGAATATTTTTTCAGGGCTAATCTATAGAGAAATCTATGATGAGTAAAATAAGTATGTCTAATAGGTGCGTAGAGTTGCCAATATTGGGAGCGTATAAATTTACCATTTTTTTTTTTCAAAATTAAACAGGGTCCTCTGAAACCCCAAAAAATTAAGTTTGAGCGATTTTAATTTATGTAGTTTTAGGCCTCTTTCTTTGCCACCACTGAACGGATTCTGAAGAAAACTACAAAGCTTTTACGTCCTTGGCATAGAAGTGGCATGGTGTAATTGCATCAAAATGCGAGAGGCATTTCTCAAGTTATAGGCGGTTATAAGATTAGCGGACAGACCGACATGGTTTTTCATGACGTGCATGTCATATAACATCCAAAAAACAATATTTTCGAAATTTTGCGCGATTACAATACAACCTTACCAGTAGGCGTGAAAAGTAAAAAGCTCTTCGAGATAAAAAGTAATTAAATTGTCCCAGGACTTTTTTGTGCCAACTATGTCTATCGATTTTAAAACATTAAAATTGCCTTGAGTATGAATGTTATTGTTAATAAATTTTGTGAACAAAATAGTGTCAAGTAAATTGAAATGGTACCTTCTACGCATACACATGGCTTATTTTCGAATATTCCGTACCTGCAAACTGAAAATTAAAAATATTTTTATATGTACGTGAAACATGAGCCTTGCTAAAAATTAGTTTTTGTAGGACCCAGGGTCGTAGCTACCGCCATATCAGCCGCATCAATGCCCCAGGGGCCCCGGATTACAGGGGCTCGACTGTGTAGGAAGAAATTCGTAAAGTCTCATCCACCACCTCACGCATTTTTTTAAGTGGCACGCCATACTATAAATTATCAATAACTGAAGCCTTAGATCAGGGTTTCCCAACCTTTTTTTTGTTGAGGCTCCTCGGACTATAAATTATATTGTCATGCCCTCCATTAACTTTTCAATAAATACAAAATTATGTAGATACAAAGACTTTTATTTTAATTCTAATAAAGAAACTTTAAAAGTTTAAATGAACTAATAAATGTTTTTTATCGAAAAACTTGAATAAAATAAGAGTAGGTGCTAATGAGACACTTGAGATTGCATGTTCTGTACCAGTTGGTTGATTCTAGGTTCTGTTTTTGTCAGAGCTATCATCAGGTCGCTATCGATATCAAGACGATTTCGCTGTTTAGCTTTAGTTGCAACTTGCACATAAGTGAATTGAAGAAAAAGCAACTAGTATTCGTAAAACAAGAAAGGCAAGTGTCGAATTAACAGGCAATCTTTTCATCCAAATTTTCTCCAATGTTAAAAATGGAAGTCATCTTTCATGGACGAATCAGCCTTCATTTCTAGAAATTCTTCCTGAACTTCTTCTGGTAATTGTGACACATCGACAACAAATGGATTTCTTGTCATGTGCAATATTGTTGACTCAGAATTTATGTCTCGATAGTATCGGCGAAACTCGTCTTCCAGCGCTTGCAAATAACTGTTTATGTCAGCTTTTAAATTTGCGTCCACTATGTTACTTTACTTGCTTCGAACACCTGCGGGATTAACAGCAAAATTGATGCTGTTCATCACTACCTGCAATCCAATCGTCCCTCCGTGCTTTCCTTGGCGGAGACAAAAATCTCAGAGATTAACCATCTTAACTTCCCAAACTACGAGGTGCACTCCAATCTGAGAAAGAACGGGGGAGTTGTGCCTTTTGTCCGCAGCAATCTTTCCTACTCCAGAGATGTTTCTTTGGAATCAGGTTGGCAGGACATTCTGTGGCTTCGCCTCTACTCCAAAACATCACCCAAATTTATCTGCTGCCTTTATCGCTCTCCCTCGGACCATAACTGGGATGGCCTACTCGAATACCTCGCCGTCCAGATGACTCCTTGAACATCAATCACCCCGCTTCAGAGGCAGTTCTTCTCGGTGATTTCAATGCCCATAATGAGCTTTGGTTGGGCTCAAACAAGACCGATGCAGCAGGTCGTGCAGTCGAAACGTTCGCTCTTACTCAAGGGCTGACCCAGCTGGTGACGAGCCCTACTTTTTTTCCCCGCATCTCGTCACACGCCACTAGCCTGCTGGATCTCTTTCTGACCACGCATCCTGTCCCTTACAGCACTGCTGTCCTGTCCCCCCTGGGCAACTCAGACCACTGTGTTGTGGAGGTTAGGTTTCGGTCAGAACCCGCTGTGACAGCAGAAACTCGTACAGGCCACAAAACTTGGCCTTACGGACATGTCGATTAGGACGGGCTCAGAGACTTCTCTAGCTTTCCTCGGAGAGATGTCTGTTTCACTGACGCGAATGCGTCGGCTGTCTGTTTTTCGATAACCGAAATTATCCACGTCGGAATGGAGGAATACATCCTTCACACAGTAAAAGTGCCTAAACCAAGGTCCAATATACTTAGGCTCAGTTGATCATGATCTGCACAATTTGATTTTATTTTCATAAACTCGTCAAATATGATTTGCTGAGATATTAAAGTGAAGTTAAAATCAACATCAACAGAACGATGCTTGTGATTTTCATAGTACACTAGTAGTAATTCATCTATTGTGCTATTTGGAATAGAATTTATAAAGAAATTATTAACAGAGTCTGGTACAAAAGGGCAGACGTTAAACTTATTTTTATTACCATGTATACCTATCTGCTTGATACATTTCCACCAGCTACGAGAATTACGCTTTTGCTTTAATTGATACTCAACGTAAGCCTTCTCTCTACGGATGGATGCAGTTACTAAATTTCGTAATTGTTTGTAATAAGTCCATTTTTGTTCAATCACTTCTTTGCTAGAATTTTTCTTTTTTAAGTTTTTATAACTGAAATAAGCTTTATCTCTTAGTTTCATCATGAGACGTATGTTCGGTGTTATCCAAGAGAGAGTCCTTTTGAATACCTTCTTGTATTTCAGAGGAGCACATGCATCTAGAACAAATAGAATTAGTTTATTCAATTACTCAACTTTAGAATTAATATCAGGATGATGGATCACATCTAACCAGTAGAGAGAAGAGGCGACAGTAATGAAAAGGTTCATGTCCATATTCTTT